TTTGTTTTTGTTTTTGTTTTTGTTTTTTGAGACGGAGTTTCCCTCTTGTTACCCAGGCTGGAGGGCAATGGCGCAATCTTGGCTCACCGCAACCTCCACCTTCTGGGTTCAAGCAATTCTCCTGCCTCAGCCTCCCAAATAGCTGGGACTACAGGCACGTGCCACCATGCCCAGCTAATTTTTGTATTTTTAGTAGAGACGGGGTTTCACTATGTTGACCAGGATGGTCTCTGTCTCTTGACCTCATGATCCACCTGCCTTGGCCTCCCAAAGTACTGGGATTATAGGCGTGAGCCTCCACACCCGGCCTGTTTGTTTTTAGAGATGGGGTCTCACTATGTTGCCCAGGCTGGAGTGCAATGGCTATTCACAGGCGAGATCCCACTACTGATCAGCATTGTAGTTTTGACCTGCTCTGTTTCCGACGTGGGCCAGTTCACCCTCCCTTAGGCAACCTGGTGGTTCCCCGCACCTGGGAGGTCACCATACTGATGCCGAACTTAGTGTGGACACCTGATCGGCATAGTACACTACAGCCTAGAATTCCTGGGCTCAAGCGATCCTCCCACCTCAGCCCCCAGAGTAACTGGGACTATAGGCACATGCCACCATGCCCAGGTGTTTTTTTTTGAGATGGAGTTTTGCTGTTGTTATCCGGGCTGGAGTGCAATGGCACGATCTCGGCTCACCGCAACCTCCGCCTTCTGGGTTCAAGCAATTCTTCTGCCTCAGCCTCCCGAGTAGCTGGGACTACAGGCGTGCACCACTGCGCCTGGCCGCCGTTTGTTTTTTTGAGATGGAGTCTTGGTCTGTTGCTCAGGTTGAAGTGCAATGGTATGATCTCGGCTCACTGCAACCTCCACCTCCCAGGTTCAAGCAATTCTCCTGCCTCAGCCTCCAGAGTAGTCGGGATTACAGGCGCACACCACCAAGCCCAGCTGATATTTATCTTTTTGGTAGAGACAGGGTTTCACCATGTTGGCCAGGCTGGTCTGGGACTCCTGACCTCAAGTGATCTGCCTGCCTCAGCCTCCAAAAGTGCTCAGGTTACGGGTGTGAGCCACCGTGCTGGGCCAGAAAGATTCTTTGCTTGGCCAAACTTTAGCACCCCTCCCAGCTTTTGGGCCATAAATTTCCACTTGCCATGCTGTTGTAAACCCAAAAGGTCTGAGACAGGTCTCCATCAATTTTCAAGTTTATTTTGCCAAGGTTGTGGATGTGTCTGGGAAAGACACAAGCTACAGTGGGATCTGTGGCCTGCACTCTTTCCCAGGAGGATTTGGAGAACTTCAGCATTTAAAGGGGAAAAAGTGGGCAGGAGGGGAAAGAGGAACAGCCAATTATTTATAAAATTATTCGGAAAATCTACTTTATATTAAGTAAAGTAAACATAGAGTAGAGGAAGAAGTATGCGTTTGTCTCCTTGGCAGGGGCAGGGGCCAGGGGTGGGGGAAATGATCTCCAGTCTTATCTTTGTCTCTTACCTGTGAAAATAAGCTGTTAATTTACATTGTCAGGATGGGGAAGGCCACCCGGGGAAATATGTGGCCTCTCTCTTGCAGCTACCTGTTTAGGAACAGCAAGAAAAAAAGCAATTTTTTACACACTCAGTTCCCAAGCTTAACTTTTTCCTTTGGCGTAGTGAGTCTGAGGTCCCGAGATCTTCTCTTCCTTTCACACTGTATTGAGCTGAGAGCCCAGTCTCTCTCCTCAGCTACAAGATTCCATTGTAGTGGTCGCTATACCTATCTCAAGGGTCCTGAATAAAGTTTTCCTTAACATGCCTTAACAAGTATCATTAGATACTTTTTTCTTTTTTGGTCAGGGTCTCGATATGTTGTTCAAGCTGCAGTGCAGTGATGCAAACAGCTCACAGCAGTCTCCACCTCCCAGGATCCAGCAAACCTCCTGCCTTAGCCTCCTGAGTGGCTGGACTACAGGCATGTGCCACCATGCCCAGCTAATAAAAAAAAATTTGGGGGGGGAGGGGACAGGGTCTCATTATGTTGCCCAGGCTATTTTTTTCTTTTTTTTTTGACATGGAGCTTTTTTTTTGACATGCAATGGCACGATCTTGGCTCACTAAAACCTCTGCCTCCCAGGTTCAAGCAATTCTCCTGCCTCAGCCTCCCGAGTAGCTGGGATTACAGGCATGTGCCATCGTGCCTGGTTAATATTCTATTTTTAGTAGAGAAGGGGTTTCTCCATGTTGGTTAGGCTGATCTCGAACTCCTGACCTCAGGTTATCTGCCTGCCTTGGCCTCCCAAAGTGCTGGGATTACAGGTGTGAGCCACAGCAACCAACCTACCCAGGCTAATTTTTTTCTTTAACAGATGAAAGTATTCTGAACATGCTAAACAATATCTATGTTTTTATTTAGGGCTAGGGGACAAAAAAGGTGAAGATGAATGTTGATGTAGCAAGGCGAATGAGTGTCACAGGCAGGCAGGCTGGGAGGCTAGAGTTGCTGCAGGGTCATTTCTGAGCTTCTGCAAGTACAGACAAGTTCAGCGTTGACTCCTCCAGAGTCCCTGCCAGCAGGCCAAAGGGAATCCATCCAGACAACTGAAATGCACATGGTGTTTTCCCCACACTCAGGCTGTCAGTTTTGTTGACTGAAATACTCCTCACCCCAGAGCTGCTTTTCACAGTTGTAGAAGATCTGTTCAATCATTCACTCACAAAACATTTATTACTTGTGTTTTACAAGGTACTGCCCTTGGAGGACACCCAAGAGGATGAAGCAGATATTGGAAATTATAGTTGACTAGACGGGTACTTCCTACCCTTCTTCCTGTCATGGCACACATAGAAAATGATACAATTTGTATAAAGCATTAAATATTGAGTGAATATAAAATCTCCAAATACAGTATTTTCAAATTTTAGCTTTTTTTTTTTTTGAGACCGAGTCTTGCTCTGTCGCCCAGGCTGGAGTGCAATGGTACGACCACAGCTCACTGCAGACTTAACCTCCTGGACTCAAGCAACCCTCCCACTTCAGCCTCCCAAGTAGCTGGGACCACAGGCTTGTGCCCCATGTCCACCTGATTTTTTATTTGTAGAGATGGGGTGTAGGCCAGGTGCAGTGGCTCATGCCTGTAATCCCAGCACTTTGGGTGGCTGAGGCGGGTGGATCACTTGAGTTCAGGAGTTTGAGACCAGCCTGGCCAACATGGTGAAAACCCATCTCTACTAAAAATACAAAAATTAGCCAGGCATGGTGGGAGGTGCCTGTAGTCCCAGCTACTCAGGTGGCTGAGGCAGGAGAATCACTTTAACTCTGGAGATGGAGGTTGAAGTGAGCCAAGATGGTGCCACTGCGCTCCAGCCTGGGTGACAGAGCAAGACTGTCTCAGAAAAAAAAAAAAAAAAAAGAGATGGCGTCTCACGTCTTGCTATGTTGACCAGGCTGGTCTTGCACTCCTGGACTCAAGCAGGTCCTCCCTTGTTGGTATACCAAAATGCTGGGATTGTAGTCATGAGTCACTGCACCTGGCCAAGTTTTAGCTTTTCTGTGAAGTAGCTGTTTGATATCAGGTTTTGTGCTTAATATTTGCACACTTGCTACATGCAATAATAATCAGAACTTTTTTTTTTTTTGAGACAGAGTCTCACTCTCGCTCTGTCGCCAGGCTGGAGTGCAGTGGCATAATCTTGACTCACTGCAACTTCCACCTCCTGGGTTCAAGTAATTCTCCTGCTTCAGCCTCCCGAAGAGCTGGGATTACAGGTGTCCACCACCACCCCCAGCTAATTTTTGCAGTTTTAGTAGAGATGGGGTTTCACCACATTAGCCAGGATGGTCTGTCTCGATCTCCTGACCTTGTGATCCGCCCGCCTCGGCCTCTCAAAGTGCTGGGACTGCAGGCATGAGCCACACGGCACCCAGCCAATAATCAGAACTTTTAAAGAATAATCTCTTCAAATTCTTGATAGCTCTGAGCTCAAATAAAAATTCTAAAGGAAATGTTAAATTCAAGAACTTACAAAAGTGGAAATTGTCTTTTATTAACAAATGTACAATTGAAATTTCTTGTGATGAAATGAATGAATTTTAATTTTAATTTATTTATTTAGAGACAGAGTCTCACTCTGTTGCCCAGTATAGAGTGCAGTGGTGTGATCATGGCTCACTACAGCATCTACCTCCTGGGCTCAAGCAATCCTCCCACCTTGGCCTCCTGAGTAGCTAGGACAACAGGCATGCACCAACCACCATGCCCAGCTAACATTTTTTTTAGATTTTTTGTAGAGATGAAGTCTCATTATGTTGCCCAGGCTGGTCTCAAACTCCTGGTCTCAAGGAATCCTGCCACCTCGGTCTCCCAAAATGCTAGGATTACAGGCATGAGCAACCACACCCCAGCTAAAAACATTTTTCTTTTTTTTGAGACAGAGTCTCACTCTGTCGCCCCACTGGAGTACAGTGGCACAATCTTGGCTCACTGCAACTTCCACCTCTCAGGTTCAAGTGATTCTCCTGCCTTAGCCTCCTGAGTAGCTGGGACTATAGGTGCCTGCCACCAGGTTGAGATAATTTTAGTATTTTTAGTAGAGATGGGGGTTTCACCATGTTGGCCAGGCTGGTCTCAAACTCCTGACCTCAAGTGATCTGCCACCCTTGGCCTCCCAAAGTGCTGGGATTACAAGCGTGAGCCACCACACCCAGCCGAAAACATCTGATAGATTTTAATTCTGTCATTTGGGATGGGGTCCAGGAATCTGAATTTTAACAGACACTCCAGGAAACTGATGCAAATGTTTCTCACAAACAATATTATGAAACAACTGACTGCTTAGCAGTTCTCAGGTGTTTTTGCTTTTTTAAATCTCAAGACTCTTTTACGCTATTAAAATTATTGAGGCCAGGTGTAGTGGCTCACACCTGTAATTTCAGCACTTTAGGAGGCCAAAGTGGGAGGATCACTTGAGGACTTCAAGACCAGCATGGACAATATAGTGAGACCCTCATCATTAAAAAAAAATTTTTTTTTAGATGGAGTTTCGCTCTTGTTGCCCAGGCTGGAGTGCAATGGCAAGATCTTGGCTCACTGCAACCTCCACCTCCCGGGTTCAGAGCCTGGGATTACAGGTATGCGTCACCATGCCCAGCTAATTTTTTGTATTATTAGCAGAGACTGGGTTTCTCCATGTTGGTCAGGCTGGTCTTGAACTCCTGACCTCAGGTGATCGGCCTGTTTTGGCCTCTCGAAGTGCTAGGATTACAGGCGTTAGCCACCAATCCCAGAGAAAAAAAATTGTTTTTTTTTTATTTAGAGATGGGGGTTTCACCATGTTGGTCAGGAGGCTGGTCTCAAACTCCTGACCTAGTGATCCACCCACCTTGGCCTCTAAAAGTGCTGGGATTACAGGTGTGAGCCACCTGGCCAAAAAATTTTAAAAAATACTATCCAGTTGAGGTGTCATGAGCCTGTGGTCCCAGCTACTCAGGAGGCTGAGGTGGGAGGATCAACTGAGTCCTAGAATTCAAGGCTGCAGTGAGCCACGTATGAGCCACTGCACCCCAGCCTGTGAGACAGCCAGACCCTGTCTCTTAAAAAAAGTTAAAAAAAAGTATTGAGGATCTCAGAAAGCTTTTCTCATGTGGGATATACCTGTTGACATATATAGGATTACAAATTAACACACACACACACTCACCCCAAAGAAAAAAAAGCAGGTAGGCGCAGTGGCGCATGCCTGTAATCCCAGCACTTTGGGAGGCTGAGGCGGGCAGATGACAAGGTCAGGAGTTTGAGACTAGCATGGTCAACACAGTGAAACCCGTCTCTATTAAAAATACAAAAATTAGCTGGGTGTGGTGGCAGGTGCCTGTAACCCCAGCTACTTGGGAGGCTGAGGCAGGAGAATCATCTGAACCTGGGAGGCAGAGGTTGTGGTGAGCCAAGATCAAGCCATTACACTCCAGCCTGGGCAACAAGAGAGAAACTCCATCTCAAAAAAAAAAAAAAGAAAGAAAGAGAGAAAAAAAGGCTGGGCACAGTGGCTCATACTTGTAATCCCAGCACTTTAGGAGGCCGAGATAACAGGATTGCTTGCATCCAGGAATTTGAGACCAGCCTGGGAAACAGAGTGAGACCCACCAACTCTTTTTGTTTTTTTGTTTGAGACAGAGTCTCACTCTGTCTACCAGGCTGGAATGAAGTGGTGTGATTACAGCTCACTGCAGCGTTGCCTCCCTGGGCTCAGGTGATCCTCCCATCTCTGCCTTCTGAGTAGCTGTGACTGCAGGTGTGCACCACCACTCCTGGCTAATTTTTGTATTCCTTGTAGAGACAGGATTTCACCATATTGCCCAGGCTGGTTTCAAACTCCTGCACTCAAGCCATCTGCCTGCCTCGGTCTCCCAAAGTGCTAGGATTAAAGTCATGAGCCACCACACCCCGCGAGACCCCATTTCTTCTTTTTTTTTTTTTGAGACGGAGTTTTGCTCTTGTTACCCAGGCTGGAGTGCAATGGTGTGATCTTGGCTCACCGCAACCTCCGCCTCCTGGGTTCAGGCAATTCTCCTGCCTCAGCATCCTGAGTAGCTGGGATTACAGGCACGTGCCACCATGTCCAGCTAATTTTTAGTAGAGACGGGGTTTCACCATGTTGACCAGGATGGTCTCAATCTCTTGACCTCGTGATCCACCCGCCTCGGCCTCCCAAAGTGCTGCGATTACAGACGTGAGCCACTGCACCCGACCTGAGACCCCATTTCTACAAAAGAATACAAAAATTCACTGGATATGGTGGTGTGTACCTGTAGTCCTAGCTAATTGGCAGGCTGAGGCAGAAGGATCCCTCAAGCCCAGGAGGTGGAGGCTGCAGTGAGCTATGACTGAAGGCACCACAGCCTTTGTGACAGAGCGAGACTTCTCTCTTAAAAACAAAACAAAACAAAAAGGCTGGGCAAAGTGGCTCACACCTGTAATCCCAGCACTTTGGGAGGCTGAGGTGGGTGGATCACCTGAAGTTAGGAGTTCCAGACCAGCCTGACAAACATGGAGGAACTCTATTTCTACTAAAAATACAAAATTAGCTGGGTGTGGTGGCGCATGCCTGTATTCTCAGCTACTCGGGAGGCTGAGGCAAAAGAATTGCTTGAACCCAGGAGGCAGAGGTTGCAGTGAGCAGAGATCATGCCACTGTCCTCCAACCTGGGCAACAAGAGAGAAACTCCATCTCAAAAAAAAAAAAGAGAGATCAGGGTCTTTTGAGTGTGGGTTTCTACTGAATATTGGACATGTGGAGCTGAGGGCCATGGTGGAGCACTCCAGGCAGAATCGGGGCTGGGGAGCTGGTTCTGGGGCGCTTCCGAAGCCTGGTGGCTCTGGCGGTGCCCTGGGTGGCAGAGCCCCAAGGCGGGACCCGTGTCCCCGGTGCAGCCTGACACCAGCAGCTGCAGCATTTGCCGCTCGTGGGCCTGATCTCACTGACCAAAAGCTCATGCTCTGCATGAGCAAAGGAAAGGATGCAAGAAAGTGGGGCGGAGGCAGCTGACCTGCAGGAACAAGCCTGTGAAGCCGCAGAAGGGGAAACGCAGTTAGGAAGGAGGATTGGCTCCAGGAAGTGTTACTGGGTGGGCACGTGTATGGTGATACTAGCAAGAGTGAGATCAGCTGGAGGTGGGAAGGCCTGGACCAGAGCAGCAGCAGAAGAAATGAGCTCTGCTTGTGTGTAGGAAACAATCAGGACTTCTTAAATTTTGGGGCATAGAGCAGGATCAAAGACCGGGAGGAGGAAAGTCGCTGGCTGAACTTGCAGCCCACCGGAGGTGCTGGCAAGCATCCAGGTGGGGGTTAGAAATTGGTCATTTGGGCTGGGCACAGTGGCTAACACCTGTAATCCCAGCGCTTTGGGAGGCCGAGGCGGGGGGATCAAGAGGTCAGGAGTTCGAGACCAGCCTGGCCACCATTTCAAAATGGTAAAACCCTGTCTTTACTAAAAAAATACAAAAATTAGTTGGGTGTGATGGTGGGCACCTGTAATCCCAGCTACTTGAGAGGCTGAGGCAGGAGAATTGCTTGAACCCAGGAGGCAGAGGTTGCAGTGAGCCGAGATCATGCCACTGCACTCCAGCCTGGGTGACAGAGTGAGACTCCATCTCAAAAAAAAAAAAAAAAAAAAAGAAAAAGGAATTGGTCACCTGGAGCTCAGGGCTGGGATTTGGGCTTCTGGTTGACCTGCCTGTAAGTGAAAATCATCACCTCCATATTAAAAGGGATTGCCAGCTGAGAAGGAGCCACCAAGGCAGGAGACCAGGGAGTCCCAGTCAAGAGGTGGCCTGAGGAACATTTCGAGGAGGGTGCTCAGCAGTAGTGGACAATGGGGAGACCTCACTGGAGTGCCTGGCACATAGCAGACACTCAATAAATATTTGTGAGATGAATGAAAGAAAAACCAGGAGTAAGAGCATGATACATTCAGGACAAGCAACATGAAAGAAATAGCAGTTGAATTTGGGAGTCAAGAGAATAACTGAGACCCTTTAAGTGGCATAAGGGAGAAAAAAAGGAAAAAAAAAAAAGAATAACTGAGAGATTGTTGTATTTGTTCCAGAAAATGGCTGGAACCAGCTCATAGGCCAACACTGAGTACTGATTATTGACCATTAGGAAACTCTGCTCCAACCTGCAGGGTGGATGCTGGAGTGGTGTGAGGTTTAATGTGCGACTTTTGTGTAGCGGTTACAGCCTAATGCAAATGTGGGCCTTTTCCATTCAATCTCAACATCTAGAGATCACAAAAATATCAGTAATACTGCTAAATGGCTCACATAATTCCATTACGAATCACTTTTTTCTTTCTCCATGGGTTTCTCTTTCCCCTTAGAAATAAAGAGGATGTAATGGGCTCTCTGCCACTGTGACCTTCTCTACAGCTTGCGTCTAAATGCTTTTTTAAAAACACAGTTATTTAAAAAGACTTAACTGGCCAGGTGTGCTGGCTCATGCCTGTAGTCACAGCTACTCAGAAGGCTAAGGCAGAGGTTGCAGTGAGCAGAGATCATGCCAGTGCACTCCAGTCCAGCTTGGCGACCAAGCAAGACTCCATCTCAAAAAAAAAAAAAAAAGCATTTCCTATTTTATTTTTCTTAAAGAAAGATTGTTTTTCCTTCATATCTTTCTGACTTTAAAAATATTATTCTTGGCTGGCTGCTGTGGCTCACGCCTGTAATCCCAGCACTTTGGGAGGCCAAAGTGGGAGGATCACTTGAGTCTACAAGTTGGAGACAAGCCTGGGCAATATAATAAGACCCTGTCTCTATAAAAACAAACAAAATTACTCTGAATGGGAGAAGAGGCTGCTGAAGGCCACAGTGGGGAGCAGGATGCAGACACCCCTGGCACAGTGCTGGCCAGTAGGCACCTCCAGCCTGACTCTATTTATCAGAGGCCAGAGGCTGAAGTCCAGAGAGGTTGAGGAGAGAGCACGGCTGGTCCCGGGGCCCTTCCCCCGCCTTGTTCCCAGGGCGCCCCTGACCTTTGAGCCGGCTCAGGCTCTGGCTCCTGCACGGCACGTGCACACTCGCCTCGCCTCTGGACCAACCAGATCCGCGGCGGCCTCTCTAGTGGTTTGGTCGGCGAGTTCGGGCCAGCGCGCGGCAATGCTGCGGCTGCTGGCGTCCCGCTGCGCCCGGGACCCGAAGCCCGGCGTGTTTGCACGTCCTGCCGCGGGACTCTGCCACCCAGGGCATCGCCAGATCCGCCAGGCTTCTGACGCGCCGCGGAACCAGCCCCCGAGCTCCGAGTTCGTGGCCCGGCCGGTGGGCGTCTGCTCCATGATGCGCCTGCCGGTGCAGACCTACCCCGAGGGGCTGGACGCTGCCTTCATCGGGGTGCCCCTGGATACTGGGACCTCCAACCGGCCCGGGGCGAGGTAAGGCCTGAAGGTCCTGGACCGGGGACACGTGGAGGGACCGCTTGATGGCCGCCGGTCTGGAAAGCACCGGGACAGGCGCCCCTGCTGGCTCCGGGTCGGTTGGAAGTTGGCTCCAAAATGCCCTTTAGGGTTGGAGATGGTTGAGTTCCCTGGACCCACAACAAGCAACCCCCCAGGGCCCGACATGGGGACGGCCTTCCACATCGTGTCATCATTGGTCAGGAAGAGATTCTAGAGCCTGAACCTTCTCCGTGTCCCCATCCTGGGTCCTTGCTGGGATGGCGACTGGATTCCTCTCCTCTCCCCAGCTTACAGTGGCAGGTGACATTGCATTTGAGAGCAGAAACTGGCTGCCCCTTCCCCAGATGACATCCTGAGGGATGTCACTTGACTCAAAAATGCTCAAATGAAGGCAATTTTCCTAGGATCAAGTTGGAGGAAGCAAAATCCATTTTCCTAATTATTGAGCATCAACAATTTCTGATTCAGCTCAGCAACATGATATCTGACTGTACTGATCTGAATTATGAAAGCTAGCACCTATTAAATGTCTCCTAAGTGCAAGGTGCTTTGCATAGATTACCTCGTTTAATTCTTACTACAGTGCAAGGTAAATATTTTACAGATTAGGAAACTGAGCCTCAGGGAGGTCATTAAATTGGTTAATGCCATTTAGTACACTTACTTAGTCCCTTCCACATATAGCGTAGGTCAGTGATTCTCAAGCGGGGTGGTTTTGCACTCAGGGGACATTTGGCAATATCTGAAGGCATTTTTGGTTGTTATGCCTTGGAGGAAGGGAGCTACTGGCATCTAGTGGGTTACAGGTCAGTGATGCTGCTAAAAATTCCATTATGCAATATTGCAACATGGAATCATCTGGTCCCAAATGGCTGAGGCTGAGAAGCCCTGGCCTAAGTAAAGCCTAAAGTCTCCGCAGATGACTGACAGGACAATTCTTCCTTCGGCAGATTTGGACCTCGCCGCATCCGGGAAGAATCAGTGATGCTTCGGACGGTCAATCCTAGCACGGGGGCCCTCCCCTTCCAGTCCCTCATGGTTGCAGACCTTGGCGATGTGAATGTCAATCTTTACAACCTTCAGGACAGCTGCCGGCGAATTCAAGAGGCCTATGAGAAAATTGTAGCAGCTGGCTGTATTCCCCTGACCTTGGGTAATGTCAGTCTGCAAGCGAGAAAGTGGTTCCCTGTACTCAGGGTTTATTTATCAGGGGCTTGAGTACAGCTACTTCTCCTGGGCAAGCCACTGATAATATGGAGACCGTAGGAAAGAGAGCATTGCAATTCATTTATTTTAATCTCTGGGGAGAGGATATTTCGTGTTGTGTGTGTGTGTGTGTGTGTGTGTGTGTGAGAGAGAGAGAGAGAGAGAGAGAGAGAGACTGAGACTGTTACCCAGGTTGGAGTGCAGTGGTGCAATCTCCACTTCATGGGTTCAATTGAGTCTCCTGCCTCAGCCTCCTAAGCAGCTGGGATTAGAGGCACCCTCCACCATGCCTGGCTAATTTTTGTATTTTTTTTTTTTTTTACTACCGACCTTATAGAATCCTCTGGAGATTTAGAATGACTCCCTGTACATTTATTTAAGTAATTCTAATTTTTCTCCCACTGTAAAGAGGTTTTCTTTTTTTTTTTTTTAATGGATTGGAGGTTTCAGTGGGACGGGAAAATCACAAGGAATTAGGTGTTCAGAGGAATGTATTGAATAGAGGCGAGGAACTAGGATGTTGAAAAGTAAAAAAAGGAGAGAAGGAGAGGAAGAAAGAGGAAGAAAAAGGGAGAGAGAACAGGAATATTGCTTCATTCTAAAAATGGGTATTAATAATGGCCGATCAATATTTTGTGTATTTAAAATGGAGAACTCTATAAATATTTATTGAGTTTACTTGTTCCGGATCTGAGTTGAAGTCCTGGATATCCTTATTAATTTTCTGTCTCGTTGAGTCTACATCTCATTATGGGTCTTATGTATCTGGGTATTAAGATCTCTTATTGTTGCATTGATCCTTTTACCACTGTATCTTTGTTGCTTTGAAATCTATTTTATCAAATGTGAGAATTGCAACTCCTGCTTTTTGTTTATTTATTTATTTTTGCTCTCCATTTGGTTGGTAAATTTTTCTCCAACCCTTTGTTTTGAGTCTTTGTGTATCTTTGGATATACCATTAGGTTTTGGCTGTATCTTTTGATTGGGGGATTTAGTTGATTTAAATTTAGGGTTACTGCCATTTGATGTTAACTGGCTATTTTATCCATTCGTTGATGTAAATTCTTCTTTATGTTGATGCTCTTTACTTTTTGGTATATTTTTAGAAAGGCTCATACTGGTTGTTCCCTTCTATGTATAATGCTTCTTTCAGAAGTTCTTGTAAGGCCTGGTGGTAATAAAATCTCTGAGTACTTGCTTGTTCATAAAAGATTTTATTTTTCCTTCAATTGTGAAGCTTAGTTTGGCAGTATATGAGATTCTAGGCTGAAAGTTCTGTTCTTTAAGTATGCTGAATATTGGCCCCCACTCTTCTGGCTTGTAGGGTTTCCACTGAGAGATCTGCTGTAAGTCTAATAGGCTTCCCTTTATGGGTAACCTGGCCTTTCTCTCTGGCTGCGCTTAGTATTTTCTCCTTCGTTTCGATCCTGGTGAATCTAACGATTATGTGCCTTGGGGTTGCTCTTCTTGAGGAATATCTTTGTGGTGTTCTCTGTATTACCTGGGGTTGAATAGTGTCCTGCTTTGCTAGATTGGGAAAATTTTCCTGGATAATATCCTGAAAAGTATTTTCCAGCTTGGATTCATTCTCTCCATCACATTCAGGTACACCAATCAAACGTAGATTGGGTCTTTTCACATAGTCCCATATTTCTTGGAGACTTTGCTCATTCCTTTTCATCCTTTTTTCTCTATTCTTGTCTTGTCGTTTTATTTCATTAAGTTGTTCTTCGACCTCTAATATCCTTTCTTCTGCTTGATCCATTCTGCTATTTAAACTTGTGCATATTTCACTAAGTTCTCGTGTTGTATTTTTCAACTCCATTAGTTCATTTATATTCCTCTCTATATTATCTATTCTTTTCAGCATTTCGTCAAACCCTTTTTCAAAGTTCTTAGTTTCTTTACATTGGGTTAGAACAAGTTCTTTTAATTCCCAGAAGTTTCTTATCATCTACCTTCTGAAGCCTACTTCAAATAATGGAACACAGTCCTTTTCCATTTTTGTATTTTTTGTAGAGCCAGGTTTTTGCTCTGTTGGCCAGACTGGTCTTGAACTCCTGACTTCAAGTGATCTGACCACCTCAGCCTCCCAAAGTACTGGGATTACAGGCATGAGGCATTGATTTTTGATTTCCAAAAATTCTACATTAAAATAATATTTACCTGCTGGGCACGGTGGCTCATGCCTGTAATTCCAGTATTTTGGGAGGCTGAGGAGGGTGGATCACTTGAGGTTAGGAGTTCAAGAACAGACTGGCCAACATGGCAAAACCCCATCTCCACCAAAAAAAAAAAAAAGCCAGGCATGGTGGTGTGCACCTGTACTCCCAGCTACTCAGGAGGCTGAGGAGGGAGAATGACTTGAACCCAGGAGGTGGAGGTTGCAGTGAGCTGAGATTGTGCCATCGCATTTCAGCTTGGGCAATAGAGCAAGACTTCGTCTCAAAGAAAAAAATAGTATCTACCTTGATTACTAAGTTTTTTGGCACACTTTACATCTTGTACACTGGAAGTGTCTCCCCCAGCTCATCCCAGCCCTTGATTCCAGCCCCAGGAAGGCGGCCAGTAGGGTCTTTCCAATGATTTCCAAGATGATGTTTCTTTCATTCTTTTTTTTTTTTTTGAGACGGAGTTTTGCTCTTGTCACTAAGGCTGGAGTGCAATGGCACGATCTTGTCTCTCTGCAACCTCCGCCTCCCAGGTTCAAGTGATTCTCCTGCCTCAGCCTCCTGAGTAGCTGGGATTACAGGTGTCCACCACCATGTCCAGCTAATTTTTTATTTTTAGTAGAGACAGGGTTTCACCATATTGGCCAGGCTGGTCTCAAACTCCTGACATGAGGTGATCCACCTACCTTGGCCTTTCAAAGTGTTGGGATTACAGGCGTGAGCCACCGCGCCCAGCCAAGAGGATGTTTCTAATGACTTTATCTTCCAGGAGAACTGCGAAGAGGGTATTTCTGTCCTGCTCAGGGTCTACATCGACCTATACGGCAGCTTTCCCCTTATCCTCACCCTCCACCCACTCTCACTTTTTCTCTTGTTCACAAATACTTAAAATGACAGGGACCTTTACCTAAATATCGAAAATTATTTTTGCCAAATGAGAGAGCCTAGCTTGCATGGCATAGTGGGAAGAGTGTGGTTTCTGGATGGTGTGGTTTGAAGTCTCAGCTGCATTTCTCCCTAGCAGTGTTGCTGTATACCTTGCTTGATGCTTCACGCCCTCACTTGTAGCACGGGAATGATCGTAATAACACCTACTTCACTGCATGGTGTGAGGGGCATATAATGAAACTGCACATGCCCAGCATCATGTATGGCATATCTTTTTTTTTTTTTTTTTTTTGAGATGGCAGTTTCGCTCTTGTTGCCCAGGATGGAGTACAATGGTGTAATCTCAGCTCACTGAAACTTCTGCCTCCCGGGTTCAAGTGATTCTATTGCCTCAGTATCCCAAATAGCTGGGATTACAGATGCATGCCATCATGCCTGGCTAATCTTTGTATTTTTAGTAGAGACGGGGTTTCATCATGTTGGCCAGGCTGGTCTCGAACTCCTGACCTCAGGTGATCCACCTGCCTCGGCCTCCCAAAGTGCTGGGATTACAGGCATGAGCCTCTGTGCCCGGCCTATGCATGGCATATCTTAAGCTTCAATAAATGTTAGCTATTGTTATTATCAGAAAGAATACTTTCCTAGGTCTGGCCCATATGGTAGCCACTAGCCACATGTGGCTAAATTCAAATTAATTAAAATATTCAGTTTCTTAGTCATCTTAGCTACGTGTATGTCACGTGTCTCACACGTGGCTAGTGGCTACCATATGGTCCAGTACAGATAGAACATTCCCATCATCATAGAAGGTTCTATTGAACAGAGCTATTCGAGGCATTTTCCTATAATACTCTGAAAAGGCATTTATCTAGAGTACTTCTTAATTTGTCTAATTTCCTCTTTTATTTGTTTTTGAGACAGGGTCTCACTCTGTCACCAAGGCTGGAGTGCAATGGCACAGTCATGGCTTGCTGCAACCTTGCCCTCCCTGGGCTCATGTGATCCTCCCACTCCAGCCTCCTGAGTAGCTGGGTCTACAGGCATTTGCCACCATGCCCGGCTCATGTTTTTAGTTTTTGCGGAGACTGAGTCTTACTGTGTTGCCCAGGCAGACCTTGAATTCCTGGGCTCAGGTGATCTGTTTGTCTTAGCCTCCCAAAATGTGGGATTACAGGTGCACGCCATTGTGTCTGGCCTATTTTTATTTTTTAGAGACAGGGTCTTGCCATGTTGCCCAGGCTGGTCTCAGACTTCTAGGTTCAAGCTATTTATTTTTTTGAGACAGTGTCTTGCTCTGTCAGCTAGGCTGGAATGCAGGGTCACGATCACAGCTTACTGCAGACTTGACCTCCCAGACTCATTAAGCATCCCACCATTCAGTAAAATCTTATTGGCCGGGCACGGTGGCTCACGCCTGTAATCCCAGTACTTTGGAAGGCTGAGGCGGGCAGATCACCTGAGGTTAGGAGTTCAAGACAAGCCTGACTAACATGGAGAAACCTCCATCTCTACTAAAAATAAAAAATTAGCCAGGCGTGGTGGTGCATGTCAGGAGCCCGAGGCAGGAGAATTGCTTGAACCCAGGAGGCGGAGGTTGCGGTGAGCCTAGGTCACACCATTTCACTCCAGCATGGGCAGTAAGAGCGAAACTCCATCTCAAAAAAATAAATCTTTTTTTTTTTTTTTTTTGGTTTTGTCAAATGTTTTATTGAGTGTAGACATCTGGAGTACTGTAAAACATGCATTATCTGTAGATTCAAAAAGGAGCAAGCCACATTGTCCTCACTGTCAAATGTGTCAGGCTTGGCATACATGATGGAGATTAATGAAGTATCATGAGAGTAATATGGTTCCTGAAAAGCTTCTACAATTTGGAGTAGGGTCTTAATCACGTGAAAAGCAAAGCTGTTCACATTTAGTGAACTTGCATTTCACTGGAGGTACACAGTATTTTAATGTTAAAACAAATAAAAATTGTTTGTTTGTTAAAGATTCCCATCTCCCCAACTTTATTTGTCCCATCGGTTTTCAGAAATTTTAATTTCAAAAAAATCATATGCCTTTTGGAAGTTGTATGTTTATCTGAGCAATAACTAAATTTTATTTCTTCTTCGGTTGTTGAGGTGTGTTAAATTTGAAGAAGATAATATCTCCATCTTCAACAATATAATTTCTGCCTTGTTGTCTGTATTTTCCAGCAGCCTTGACTGCATTTTCAGAACCTTCCTCTTTAAAATCTTCATATTTCATTACTTCAGCCATAATGAATCCCTTTTCAAAATCTGTGTGGATCTTTCCTGCAGCCTGAGGAGCCTTAGTCCCTTTCCTGATGGTCCATGCACGCACTTCATCTGGGCCTGCAGTGAAAAAGTATTCTAGCTGGAGTGCTGCAAATCCAGCCTTAATGATCTTTGGCAAAGCACTTTGTGTCATGTTCGCTTCCAGATACTTCTGTCTCTTCTCAGCACTCAATTCTTGCAACTTGAGTTCCAAGGCCCCACTAAAAGGAATGACCAAGGCGCCTGGGTCATACTTGTCCACCCACTCTTTAATTTTTATCAACCATTTGTTTTTCTTTCGAATGTAGTCTTTTTCAGAAAGATTAACCAAGTAGACCATTGGTTTGGAAGTCAAAAATAAGTGTTTATTCAACACTTCAATCTCTTTGTCATTCCAATCATGATAGAAGCAAACAGGTTTCTTTTGATCTATAACCCAGGATTTTACTTTGCACATTATATCATATTCAGGTTTTAGTTTTTTATCTCCTCCTCTCACAGCCACCTTTTCTAGTTTATCTATAATGGGCCCAATCATTTCCTCATCTTTAAGCTGAAGCTCTTCATGTATTGTTTCTATATCTCGAATAGGATCTACACTTCCTTCAACATGCGTGATATCATCATCTTCAAAAGCACGTGTTAGGTGAAAGATGCCATCACAGGCACCTAATATGAGATAAAAAAGCATTCCCCAGGCCCTGCCCATTGTGAGCTCCTTTCACAAGGCCAGCAATATCCACTACATTTAGAAAGGCAGGAATTTTGCTTGCTGGTTTGTGGTACTGACAAAGAAAGTCAAATCTTTCATCTGGCACAGGTACTCTGCTCTCATTAGGATCAATAGTGCAGAATGGGAAGTTTTCTGCTGAAGCCTGACTATTGGTTAATACATTGAAGAAAGTAGATTTCCCAACATTTGGCAATCCAACAATACCAATTTTCAGTGAGGTTCCAAATCTTCCAATGATTGGGGGTGGTTTAATTCCATCACCTCCCTTCTTGGGGGGCATCGTGCTCGGCCTGGGCGATCAAAAAAATAAATCTTATTGTAGTTGTGGTTATAGCTCCTTAGTCTAAAAGGGTGAAAATTGGGTTATTTTAAGATTATTTAGCTGGGTGTGGTGGCTCATGCCTGTAATCCCAACACTTTGGGAGGATGAGGCGAGTGGATCACTTGAGATCAGGAGTTTGAGACCTGTCTGACCAACCCCGTCTCTACTAAAAATACAAAAATTACCCAGGTGTGGTGGCAAACACCTGTAATCCCAGCTATTTGGGAACCTGAGGCAGAAGAATCGCTTGAACCTGGGAGGCGAAGGTTGCAGTGAGCAAAGATCACACCATTGAACTGCACATGCCCAGCATCATGTATGGCATATTTTTTTTTTTTTTTTTTTTTTGAGATGGCAGTTTCGCTCTTGTTGCCCAGGATGGAGTACAATGGTGTAATCTCAGCTCACTGAAACTCACAGCCTGAGCAACAAGAATGAAACTACATCTCAAAAAAAAAAAAAAAAAAAATTACTCTGTGTCATCCTCTTATTCACTTTCCAGACGTTTTCTTCTTATTCCTCTTTGCAGGTGGAGATCACACAATCACATATCCCATATTGCAAGCAATGGCAAAAAAGTAAGTCCCAAATGGCTTGGCCCAGCAAGATTTCAAAAGCCAGAAGTTAGGGAATGCTGTTTGCTCTTAGGTGGCGTTAGGTGACTGCTGCTGGCTCAGGTTATGGGGGATGATAAGAAATTCCCAAATGAGCTGGTTCTGGGGATCAAAATTAAGGTTGAGCTCCAGGTGTCTCTGTCAGTCACCAGCTAGAAGCCAAGACAATTTATTATTAACACTTCTGCCCACCCTCCCTTGCCCTAGATCTGTCCTCGTATGTGTGCTCAGCATTTTCAACTCGCCTCTGTTTTTGGAAGTTGAGCCCCTAGTGAGATATACAACCCCAGTTAATGTCAGTTTCTATTTTGTTTCAATGGCCAAACACTGACAGGCACAATGGTGGAGCCTGCTGAGAGGCCCTTGTTTCCTCCTGAAAGGGCACCTTTCCCAGACAGTCAAAAGAGTGATTTGCCAGTTGTGGAAGTCTACCGGGCATTGACCGGCTTTGGCTAATTTAGTTTGAGAAAGAGACAGAAGGGCCGGGGTGGAGGGTGGCAGCTCCGGAATGTGTCTACAGAAGCACATGTGGGTGGCATTCTGGTTGGAGGTGGGTGGGTGCAGGTCTTTGCTCGAAGCTGCATTTATTTCTCACGGATTTGGATCAGATGTTTATTTTGGGTGGCTGGCAGGGGCTGATGGAGGTTATGGAGAGAGTGCTGGCTTGGAGAAAGGGTGGCTTGGTTTAGTTAAGCCTTCAGCCAAGCTCACCTGTGCCACCACCCTTGATTCTAATCCTGTCTCTAAATGAAGCAAATTCTGGGAGATAGGTGTGGGTGGCAGCCAAAACATGTCGGATTTCCTGCCTGACTTCTGTGAGTTTATTGTTCCTCTGAGATGCTAAGTGGTATCAGGAAGAAAGAAACCGATTGCAAGGCAGAAGACCGATGCGGGGCGGGGTGGGGGGTGGGTGCTGGTGGCTCACACCTGTCATTCCAGCACTTTTGGAGGCTGAGGTGGGTGGATCACAAGGTCAGGAAATCGAGACCAGCCTGGCTAACATGGTGAAACCCCGTCTCTACTAAAAATACAAAAAGATTCTGCGGGCATGGTGGCACTTGCCTGTAGTCCCAGCTGCTTGGGAGGCTGAGGCAGTAGAATTGCTTGAACCCGGGAGATGGAGGTTGCAGTGAGCTGAGATCAAGCCACTGCACTCCAGCCTGGGCAACAAAGCGAGACTCCATCTCAAAAAAAAAGAAAACTGATGCCAGGTCTCCCCTCCTTTGTGGCTGTGAACTGTGACCAAGTTTGGTGGCCTGAAGGGCGGCTGTGCTAGGGCCCTACAGGGAGGGTTGGCCTCTGAGCTGCCCTGTTGTCATCAGGCATGGCCCTGTGGGGCTGCTGCATGTGGACGCACACACGGACACGGCCGACAAGGCCCTAGGAGAGAAACTCTACCACGGGACGCCCTTCCGCCGGTGTGTGGAGGAGGGTCTCCTGGACTGTAAGCGGGTGGTGCAGATTGGCATCCGGGGCTCTTCCATGACCTTGGATCCCTACAGATACAATCGGAGCCAGGTGAAAGACCGAATGTCCCCCAACCCTGCCCCCAAAATGCCTTCCTCTCCCTTTGCTCACTTGGCAACCAGGGATTCAGCAGGGGCTTTACTAACCAAGTCAGAAAGCAGGGACAAGAGGCTGAGTTTGCGTCATCAGGGCCACAGGGAGAACAGGGTGAGGGGGCTGACTTACGGGGCACAGGAAGTCTATTGCTGGGGTGGGGAGACAAGCAGAAACCCACCAACCCCTCAGACGGTGCTGGCTTAGAAAAGAGGGAGGAGGCCGGGCATGGTGGCTCATGCGTGTAATCCCAGCACTTTGGGAGGCCTAGGTGGGTGAATCACCTGAGGTCAGGAGTTCAAGACCAGACTAGCCAACATGGTGAAACCCTGTCTTTACTAAAAATGCAAAAATTAGCCCAGTGTGGTGGCGTGCACCTGTAATCCCAGCTACTCGGGAGACTGAGGCAGGAGAATCACCTGAACCTGGGAGGCGAGATCGCACCATTGCACTCCAGCCTGGGCAACAGAGTGAGACTCCATCTACAAAAAAAAGAAGAGGGGAGGAGGTCTGGACCCAAGATGAATTGTCACCTTCTTAGTTCTGGTCCTCATACCTTCTAGGCAGAATGGCTCTCATGTAGACGCGTATGACAAGACCCCAAGGGGAAAAACCCAAATCCCTTGCTTCTAGAGTGTGCCAAGGCCAGTCTTCTGGACAAAGCAGTTCAGAAGGTGCTAGTGTGAGCTGCTGAGTTTCCCACTATGGCTTTAGCAAAGCTTCTCTCTGATCCCTACTCCAGAGGTCAGCTTTGACCCTGCTTCCTTACCAGTCATTGTCCTGCCCTTCCTCACCTGTAAAATGAGGGTGATAGTACCCTCCTCATGGAGGTGGAGGGTCAAGTGTGATAGAGCTGAGCTTGGGGCTGGCAAACAGGAAACGCCCTGTAAATGCTGCCAGGCAGAAGCCTCAGTCCGTCTCTGCAGGGCTTCCGGGTGGTCCTGGCTGAAGATTGCTGGATGAAGTCGCTGGTTCCTCTGATGGGGGAAGTCAGGCAGCAGATGGGAGGCAAACCCATTTATATCAGCTTTGATATTGATGCCCTGGATCCTGCCTATGCCCCAGGGACAGGGACGCCTGAAATTGCTGGTCTCACCCCTAGTCAGGTAAGGAGACTCCTCCAGTGAAGATTCCTGGGGGTGGGGATACTTAACATCCATTTTCCTGGGACTTGAAGCGAATCTTTAGAAATCAGGTTAAGATCTCTCTCTCTCTACGCACACACACACACACACACACGTCTGTGTGTGTGTGTGTGTGTATATATATATATATATATATAAAATTTTTTTTCTTTTTTTTGAGATGGAGTCTTACTCTTTTGCCAAGGCTGGAGTGCAGTGGCACGATCTTGGCTCACTGCAACCTCCACCTTCTGGTTTCAAGTGATTCTCCTGCCTCAGCCTCCCAAGTAGCTGGGATTACAGGTGCCCACCCCCACACCTGGCTAACTTTTGTATTTTTAGTAGAGATGCAGCTTCACCATGTTGGCAAGGCTGGTCTCAAACTCCCGGCCTCGTGATCTGCCTGCCTCGACTTCCCAAAGTGCTGGTATTACAGGTGTGAGCCACTGCGCCTGGTCTATAGTATCCCCTCTTAAGAACGCTGAACTTGGCAGGGCGCCGTGGCTCATGCCTGTAATCCCATCACTCGGGGAGGCTGAGGCAGGCGGATTACTTGAGGTCAGGAGTTTTAGACCAGCCTGACCAACATGGAGAAAACTCCGTCTCTACTAAAAATACAAAATTAGCCAGGCATGGTGGTACATGCCTGTAATCCCAGCTACCCAGGAGGCTGAGGTTGAGGTGAGCTGAGATCATGCCATTGCACTCCAATCTGGGGCGACAAGAGGGAAACTTAGTCTCAAAAAAAAAAAAAAAAACCCCAACAAAACCCAAAAAACAACAAAAAACCCACTAAACTTACCTTTTGAGGATTCAATTTAAATAAAAGTGCGTACAATGGGCCAGATGCAGTGGCTCATGCAGTAGTATCCCCAGCACTTTGAGAGGCTGAGGTGGATGGATCGCTTGAGCCCAGGAGTTTGAGACCAGCCTGGGCAACATAGTGAGATCCTATCTTTACTAAAAATAGTAATAAAAAAATTAGTCTGGTGTGCTAATGCACACCTGTATTCCCAGCCACTAGGGAGGCTGTGGCAGGAGGATCAGTTGAGCCCAGGGGGGTCAAGGCTTCCGTAAGCCATGATCACGCCACTGCACTACAGCCTGGGTGACAGAAACCCTGTCTCAAAAAAAAAAAAAAAAAAAAAGAAGTGCATGTGATGGTGCCACTACTTACCAAGGTAGCTTAAAACTTAGAAACACCCAAATAAAGCTCCAATAATGTGTGCTGCAAGTAAATGCATGGAGGCAGAATGGTTATGACCAGAAGCTCCAGGAGGCCAGGACCTATGTATTGTTCCCTACGTTGTCCTTGAAGCCCAGGACAGTGCCTGATACATACAATTAGTAGGCACTCAAAGATACTTGCAAGTAAAATGAATGAAACTGCTTAAACCTCATCGAGTACCTTACATCCTCTAAGATCTTAACTGTCTCTCTTGAAATGGTTGTAACCATTCTCTGTTCCCACGAGGAATTTCTGAAACACTTTCCTCATCCTTCTGCTTAGCAACCTTCTGGGCTTTTCACCTGCAGGATGGAAACCCTTTTAGACAAGGTCACTCTGTTCCCAGTCTCCCTCACTTATTCAGTCTTCTGGCCACAACTCACTACCTGAACTTTTCCCAGCTTGGTGCCTTTGCCTGCGTTTTTTTCCTCTGCCTGGCTTATCCCTTGAACTAAGTATTTCCACTGTGGGGAAGCCTTATCCACCGCTCCAGGCTCTTACCTGTGCTGCTACCATTCTGGGCTTGCTTTTCTTGAAGCCCTTAGTGCACGACATTGAAACAATTGGTTTCCTTGTCTCCATCACCACACCATGCAGCCCTCAGGAGCAGGGAGTGTGTAGTAATCTGTGTCTCTGGGAGGCCTGTCAGTGTGCCTGGCAGTCCATAAATGTTTATCGAGGGGAAGCAAATTCCAAGCCAAAGGGTGGCATAGGCTGGGAAAAGCTCTACTGGGTGCTTTTCATTGTAAATGATTGCCACCGTGGACAACTCAGTCTTGATCTTGAATAGGCTCTGGAGATCATCCGGGGTTGTCAAGGCCTGAACGTGGTGGGCTGTGACCTTGTAGAAGTTTCACCACCATATGATCTTTCTGGTGAGTAAGCAAGAAGACGGTGATCCATGGGCAGCTGCTAGCTTAAATTATAGGAAGCTAGTTAGTAAGCAGAAAATGGGGCTGGGGCACAGTGGCTCATGTCTGTAATCCCAGCACTTTGGGAGGCCGAGGCAGGCAGATCACCTGAGGTCAGGAGTTCAAGACTGGTCTGGCCAATATGGTGAATCCCATCCCTACTGAAAATGTAAAAATTAGCCAGGTGTGGTGGCACACACCTGTAATTCCAGCTACTTGGGTGGCTGAGGCAGGAGAATCGCTTGAACCCAAGAGGAGGAGGTTGCAGTGAGCTGAGACCACAATACTGCACTCTAGCCTGGGCGACAGAGCGAGAGTCCATCTCAAAAAAAAAAACAAAAACAACAAAAAAGAAAATGGATGAGTCCCCTTACATGACTCAGGGAACTGGCTGAGCATGTCCAACAGCGAAGAAAACATATCTATTGCTGCACACTTACAAACATGAGCTCATTCACCCTAACAAAACCCCTGGGAGGTAGCTAAGGATCATTAGCTTGCCCACCAATCAGCAGAGGAGAAAGCAAGCAGTCTGCAGTCTAGTGACAGGGTGATTTAAGCAGCTAAGTTCCTGCTTGATAAACATTAACATATGTTAAGATCTTCAAAGGAGATGCCATCCCAATAATTTTAATGTAAACAAGCTTATGGAGTTATGTCTATTGACCTCAGAGGGTGGATAATAAATACAGTACACATCATTAGTATAGGTTCTCCTTTGGGAAAAATCTGTTCTCAGAATAAACCAAGAACTTTCTGAATTTTAAAATAGGATTTCCAAATGATGCCTGATGGAGGCAGAGAGCCCGGGCAAGCATGTTCACAGCTGGTGGCTCCCTAAGGGAGGCACAGACAGGACTCTGGAAAAGGAGGCACAGGGGAAGAAAGCTGAGGGGTTCCAAGGCTTGGTTCAGGGGGTGGTCTGCAGGGTATTCATGTCAGGTTTTACTTCTTCATAGGGAACACGGCCCTGCTGGCAGCTAACCTGCTGTTTGAGATGCTGTGTGCTCTCCCCAAAGTGACAACCGTCTGAATCTTGTGCTCTTCAAGACAAAACAGATTGCATCGCTGACAAGTTCTCAAGAACTTATGAGTAAGCAGTCTGAGAACTAATGAGTTTATGCCAAGAAAACTTTCTGCTGAAAGTGTCATTGCTGGCTGTGAAATGGGATATTCAGTAGAATTCTCACCCAAACAGCAACACTTCTAAGGAATTTGGATTAATTAAAAAAAAAAGAGTACTTGTACTGCTTTGATTTTTTTTCCCTTTGATGAAAGATGGAAGGAAATAACAAAAACAAAATAAAGAAAAAAAAAGATGGAGGATAAAGGGGAAGAGATGGAGAATTACATTCAAGGTTATCTAAGTATTAGAAACATGACATTTAAAAAAACCTTATGACCCAGCACTTTGGGAGGTGGAGGCGGGTGGATCACGAGGTCAAGAGATGAAGACCATCCTGGTCAACATGGTGAAACCCCGTCTCTACTAAAAATACAAAAAATTAGCTGTGCATGGTGGCGCGTGCCTGTAATTCCCAGCTACTCAGGAGGCTGGGGCAGAATTGCCTGAACCCAGGAGGCGGAGGTTGCAGTGAGCCGAGCTCCCACCATTGCACTCCAGCCTGGGTAACAAGAGCGAAACTCCGTCTCAAAAACAAAAAACAAAAAACAAAACAACCTTATGAATACTGTATAAGCATTCCATATTTCTATAGTATCTTTCTTCCTTTTTAAATGTTTTTGATGATCTACTTCCTAGAGTATTGAGTATCTTCCTTTAAAATACAGCTCGGATGTTGCAGTGAGCTGAGGTCACACTACTCCAGCCTGGGTAACAGAGCAAGGCTTCATCTCAAAAAACAAAAAAAAGCAAAAGAAACCCAACTCCTTCTATGAGGAGCTTAGGGCTGCATCTTGGCTTTAGGACCACTGTGAACATAAGTAAAAAGTATTAAAGAACACAGAGAGCCTAATAAACTTCTTGCTCAGAAGCCTGGAAGGGTACACAAAATGCCTTCTAAACTGGAAAACTTAAGGCTGGACATGGTGGCTCACACTTGTAATCCCAGCACTTTGGGAGGCCAAGGCAGAAGCCAGGAGTTCAAGACCAGCCTAGACAACATGGTGAACACCTGGCTCTACTAAAAATACAAAAATTAGCCGGGCATGGTGGCGTGAGCCTGTAATCCCAGCTACACAGGAAGCTGAGGCAGGAGAATTGCTTGAACCTGGGAGGTGGAGGTTGCAGTGAGCAGAGATTGCACCATTGTACTCCAGCCTGGGTGACACAGCGAGACTCCATCTCTAAAAAAAAAAAAACGCAGTGGCTCACACCTGTAATCCCAACACTTTGGGAGGCCTAGGTGGGTAGATCACCTGAGGTTAGGAGTTTGAGACCAGCCTGGCCAACATGGTGCAACACTGTCTACACTAAAGAAATAAAAATAAATAAATAAATGCCCTCCTCCCCCAAAACAAAACAAGAAAACATCAGCTGGGCTCTTAATGTTACTTATGCTAACTCACTTCCTGTAAGACTCAATTTTGTAGTATCTACTCTTCAAGTTGCTGTACCCTCTGTGACAGCGATTCCTGAAATCTGCAGTTAAGCTGTGCTGATCTTAAGCATATGTTGAGTACATGCAAATTCAATATTGTTGATAATGTGTCCATGATCAAATCATCATCTTGCAATGTAAGGGCTGCCCCATAATTATCACACATTAAAATAGTTTATTTCTTTTTCCATTCTGTAATCTTAAAATAATATCAGCTTCAGTGCCTGTTCACAATACAAAAAAAGTCAAAAAACAAAAAAACACCCAAAACATAAAAAAGAAACAATTTGCCAATAAGTTATTTGTTCCTAAGAGTATCAAAAGTGCAAAATATTCACCTTCTTTTCAGATCTCTCCCAAGTATAATCATCCTCCTTGACAGACTGAACAGATTCAGCAGCTGCCACACTGAGTTTGTTTTTAAGGGACAATGTCAGACATGTGGATGGGAACTACAGTTCATCTGTAGAGATGTTTGGCATCAGCTTTTAAATAATTCTATTTAAGGCCGGGCATGGTGGCTCATGCCTGTAGTCCCAGCACTTTGGGAAGGTGGATCATGAGGTCAGGAGTTTGAGACCAGCTTGACCAACATGGTAAAACCCTATCTCTACTAAAAATACAAAAATTAGCTGGGCGTGGTAGCATGGACCTGTAGTCCCAGCTACTCAGGAGGCTGAGGCAGGAGAATCACTTGAACCCAGGAGGCAGAGGTTGTGGTGAGTCGAGATCGTGCCACTGCACTCCAGCCTGGGCAACAGAGTGAGACTGAATCTCAAAAGAAAGAAAGAAAGGATTCTACTTAATCAAAAAAGGTCTGAGTATGTGCTTCCAATCTCTATTCCCAAACAAAGGAAATCACTAAAAAAAAGTCAGATTATACTTCTTTTTGTAATAGAAAAATATTTATGTAATGATGGCAGCTGCAAATTGATTGGGACGTTAATAAATAAAAGGGAACAATTATCAATAGGCTGCAAATGAGGAAGAAACCAATCTACTTGCAAACTACAACCAAATTCTCACGGCTAATAAGTGATGGCAGTGAGACCACAGCCCCTAATGGAAGTTAGGGCAGCTTCCCCCACTGAAATGTTCTTTAGTTGGAGCTGATAACCTCAGTGTTAGACAAAAATTGTGCAACAAACACCTGAGCAATAATTTTTTTTTCTTTTTTGAAAGTGGCATGTATTCTGCAAAGACCTGTCTTAGGCCGTTTCACCCCGTTTGCTAAATGTGATGCATAGTCTGTATCAACCAGAAGAACCCATCTCTAAAAACATCAGTGTTGATATTCAAAGACCAGAGTGTTAGAACCAAAACCGGGTCTTGTATGATTACATACCTCAGACATCAGACAGAGCAATGGTGGCACAGGCTGAGCATGACAATGGCTTATACATTTGACACAAAAGTAAAAAAATTCATGGAAGCATTCAGGAGGAAAGCCTTGCATGGTCAAGGGTAAAGTTCAATTGATAATAAAAACTCCCTAATGGCCTCATAGGGCACCAGCTCTAAACGGATCTGTAGAAGAATTTTTGGGATGAAACATCTGCCAGACACATTGCCAATCCCACTACTACTTTCCTTTCCTAGTGCAAATGGAAGGTGCAGCTGTCTGAAGGTCTTTTTATTTTAATAAAAATTCTCAAAAATGTATAAATCTGGCATGGTGGCTCCTGTTGATAATCCCAGCCATCTGGGAGGCCAAAGTGGAAGGACTGCTTGAGGCCAGGAGTTTGAGACCAGCCAGGGCAACATAGCAAGACCTCATCTCCGTTTAAATAAATAAATAAATAGAGTTTTTGGTTTTCAGAAATTAAAGTCAGGAATTTCATTAGTACCAGAAATTAAAAATTAAAGCCTGCCACCAAACCAAAACACTACTTATATAAGCAACCTGGCCATAAAAGACCCAGAAAGTAATTTTGAGGACTGATATATCAAGGAGCCAAATGAATTCCTTAACCATTTCTATTTGACCCAGGTGCCATGAGATACAGCATTCAGGCCAGGTGTGGTGGCTCACACTGGTAATCCTAGCACTTTGGGAGACCGACGTGGGCAGATCACGAGGTCAAGGGATCGAGACCATCCTGGCCAACATGGTGAAACCTTGTCTCTACTAAAAATATAAAAATTAGTGGGACGTGATGGTGGGCACCTGTAATCCCAGCTACTCAGGAGGCTGAGGCAGGATAATGACTTGAATCTGGGAGGTGGAGTGAGCAGAGATCGCACCACTGCACTCCAGCCTGGCAACAGAGCAAGACTCCGTCCCCCACCCAAAAAAAAAAAAAAGAGATACAGCATTCAGAGGAAGTGTTCATTTTTAGAGGATCATATAGGAGAATGAAGCCTGGCAGTGATTTCTTTTTTAATAAAGCTATGGACTCCATGAAACCTATAGGAATTCCTAGCCTTAAATAATTTATTACTTACCAATGTAGCTCAAGATTTAAATTATTCAGGATCCAAGTGGCTTAAAGGAACCCTAACTTAGTAAATGTCCCATCACTGATTTTCACCCTTCACAAAGCCACCAAAAACAACTTGCTTTGACATTTGAATGGACCACTCTTTGTAATTGTCCAAACTCAAACTCAGAACCACTGGTGGTTCTGCCCCGAAAAATAAAGGGTATGCTCTCTAACCGGCTGGTATGAGCCAGCCTGGGGACCACTAAACACTGCAGCTCAGCATGCTCAGGTGCTGACTGCCAATCTGACCCCATTACTCATGAAACAGCTGTAAGTTAAGAGTGAAAACAATGAAGATGAGACATCAAAATACAGGCCAGAAGTGGAAAGTAAGCCTTCTGCAAAATGGGAGTCTAGAATAAGTCTTGGCTCACTTGCTACAAAAGATGACTTGAAGACACAGCACTTTTGGGGTAACAGTGTTCAAAATGCAATTGTTGAGAAATTTGAAGTTCCTTGATACAAAGACATGTCTGGTATTTTACTAAAGAGACGCTATTAGAGTGAAGAGGTTCCTTGAGCCTGACTCATAGCAGGTGGGAATAATTTCTCTTCAGTTTAACATCTACTGGCTTTATAGCAGCTTATCTCTACGTTCAGAGAACAGGATTACAAGTTATGGCTCCTAATATCCATACCCTGAAATCGCTAAGAGGCAGAAAGGCATCTGAAAGCATATATGTCAACGGCTCAAAGTCATCACAGTACTTCTTGCTGTGCAGACACTCCCCTGGCCACCAGGAGCGCTGGGGCGGCAGAGGCGATGCTCACTGCATGTCTCAAAGCTGCATTGCTTCAGCCACTGCCCAGCCTCCCTTTCCTTTTCATGAGAACTCACATGCAGAATGCCCGCTCACTCCTTTCCTTTTCAATCCTGGCCAACAAACTGTTGTTGGGGGGATACCCCCAAAATATACCTTTAGCCAATTACTCCCAGAACAACCAGTAAATGTGAGATTGCTTGCAAAGGGGTCTCTTTCCAGATGCGGGGCTAGAAGCTGCTATGGTTTGTTCAGGGTTAAGAGCATGCGCCATGGCAGCAGCATAGCTGGGCTGGGGCTGGGGAAGGGGCCAATGACCCAGCCTGCACGACAGGCTCAGGAGGGTCCACCAGATGCCGTTTGCAGGGTGGAGCCCTGTGTTTCTCCAAGACACAGGACAGAGGGTGGGATGAGCACGGGACCGGGATGAGAAAGAAGAGGGGATGAGCAGACTATTTTCAATGGTGTGGCATTCAGTGAGGAAAAATAAAACCCAGAGGAAAAGATTTTCATCTAGGGAATTCAAACTTGTGGTGTTTTTCATTCCTAGGTTAGAATAGGACAAAGGAAAGATTCTTCTAGCCATGGTTCTAGAAGAGCAATCTAAAATCTATACTCTGTTCATTATGGTAGTTTGAGTCCTAAAAATACCTGTTCACAGGGGCATGTTAAAAAGTCTGAAGAGTTCAAATCCCTTTTGAAAATCTTCTCAGTCTAGTTCAGGCCATGATGGGATATAAAATCTCTGTAAGGAGCCCTCCAGCAGGCGTTCCATCCACAAGGAGAGCTTGCTCAACTTTCCTTTGATGGGCCTGGATCCAAGACCACAGGAAGGTTTCCCTCGAGATTCACCCAGGTGGAGGGAAGAGTCAAGATCGCTGCATGACCCCATGGCTTCCTCCTCTTCGACTGTTTTTTGGGGCTTGAAGAGGCAGAAGTATTTCTTGTGGCCATTCAGGGCCAGTACATAACCAGTGTAGTCACGTTCCATGAAATGCTTATCATATTGGTTTGGGATCGGGGCTGCATCTTGAGCAAATTCTAATAAGTATTCTAACCATTCTCTGTGTTTATCTAGACTCAGGAAGGAGAAGTGTAGGCAGCTGCTCCTGTAGGAAGAAGAGAATGAGGACTCAGGGTATTTCCTGACACATTTAATTGCTGAGAAAATAAATACCCCAGTGAAACTTAAAATCATAGGAAAACGCTTTGTGTCGGGTGGGGCCTCAACACAGAGAAACGAAGGCTCTCTGAGGGAGCCAGTGCCTCTCCAGCAGCTGCGACAACTTCAATCACCCATTCCCCCATCCCTTGCTCGGTGGAACTTGCATTGGTCTTCTGGAAAACACACCAGAGCTAGAGAACAGTCAGTTTGCTGAAAGCGCTCAGAGAATAACACTGAGTTCAAGCTCTTCTGTCCAGAATCAACAGAACACGAAGTGAAGTGGGAAAAGAGGGCCCTGTCTCAGTGGCTCAGATGTCTGATTGGAAAGGTCACAGCCAGCATCTTGTCACACAAATAAAGCCCCATAAGACCAAAGAGAAAAGTGTGCAATTTCAGTGCACCTGCCCCCCCCGCCCCCCACATGCTTACCCAGTAAATGTGTAGACCTCCAAAGCAAATTTCTGTAGTAGGCTGGTCTTGGTAGAATTCGACAGGATGAGGACCACATTCATGTGGCCTGGCCTCAGGCGTACCAAGTTACTGGTGTATGTTACATCTGTGAGTTCAGTTACCTCCACAAAGCCTTTTTTGGGAACCTTGCTGTGGAGAAATATTGAGGAGTTAAGATGCTGTCAGGATAGGGGAAAGCCATTACTTTGAAAAGGAACAAGTGAAAGAAAATGCTACGTTCTAACCAGACTAGGTATGTTATTCACTATTTTGAGCCTAACACATTGGTAGGATGGGGATGGCCTAACTTGCTAATCCCTGACCTACAAACAGCCTTTGTGTGCTGCTTTTCTTTTTCTTTTTGAGACACGGTCTTACTCTGTTGTCCAGGCTTGAGTGTGGCAGCATGATCATGGTTCACTGCAGCCTTGAACTCCTGGGCTCAAGTGATCCTCTCACCTCAGCCTCCCTAATAGTGGGACCACAGGTGTCTGCCACCACATTCAGCTAATTTTATATATTTTGTGCAGAGAGAGGGTCTCATGTTGCCTAAGCTAGTCTCGAATCCTGGGCTCAAGCAATCCTCCCACCTTGGCCTCGTAGTGTTGGGATTACAGGTATGAGCCACTGTGCCCAGCTTGATGCTGCTTTTCAGGTGCAGAAGTTGCTCTAGGACAGAATGAAGAAAACTATCGCTCAGTCTGTGTTCTTCATCTCAGAGACCCTGGCCTCTCACTGCTGGATATGTGTGTGCACTCAAGACTGGTCATGTTCATTGACAGTTACAGGGACAAACCACGTCCTGATTCTGGCTCATCTACCACTTGCCTGACATGATTCTTTCCTTCTGCCTTATGAAATCTAAGGCATCTAAACACCTAGAGGCTCTTAGTAAACACAAGTCACAGTGACTTTTCCTTGTATCCACACTTTACATGGAAGGAGGTGCAGGAGAGTTCTTCTCTACACTGTATGTTCCAATGCTGTGTTATTAGATGACATGATCTAGGGGGTAGGTGCCAGGGAGGTAAGTTTGGTGTTTTGTTAGAGAAACCTGCTGTTTTCTTTGGTGAAGCTTGGTTCGGTCTTCCCAGTCTTCTCTTGGGCTTCCTCTTTATCTGGAGGGCTTGACTCTCGCTCATCATTCGAATCACTAAAGTGAAAAAAAAGTTTTACAAAAAAAGTGTCAACAGCGAGCATGGAGGTGCAGTGAGAAGCCACAAGACATTTACCTGAAAGCCTGAACGATGACTGTGCCAAAGAGGATGAAGAGGGCAGAGAAGATCAGGGACAGCAGAGGCATCATTTCCCGCCTAAAACCAAATTGGCGAACTATTAGCTCAACTTAAACTTTCTTCTCTCTAGCTCAAAAAAAGAGAAAAATCCCAAACCAGAAATTATTCACACCAATAAACTCTTACTAATTTCAGGCAAACAGAGCTTTTCCTGGTGGGTGGTGGCGGTGGAGGGAAAGGTAGAGATTGTTTGCTCAGTGTTCTAATTCAGATAGCTTACTCTAAAAGTTTGATTTTTTTTTTTTTTTTTTTGAGATGGAGTTTCGCTGTTGTTACCCAGACTGGAGTGCAATGGCGCGATCTCGGCTCACTGCAACCTCCGCCTTCTGGGTTCAAGCAATTCTCCTTCCTCAGCCTCCCGAGCAGCTGAGACCACAGGCGTGCACCACCATGCCCAGCTAACTTTTGTATTTTTCGTAGAGACGGGGTTTCACCATGTTGGCCAGGATGGTCTTGATCTCTTGACCTTGTGATCCACCCGCCTCAGCCTCCCAAAGTGCTGGGATTATAGGCGTGAGCCACCGCGCCCGGCCTAAAAGTTTGATTTTATAGCTCAGTATAATAGACTATGCTTGGCCAGGCGCAGTGGCTCACATCTGTAATCCCAGCACTTTAGGAGGCCGAAGCAGGCAGATCACCTGACCAACATGGAGAAACCCCGTTTCTACTTAAAAAAAATTACAAAATTAGCTGGGTGTGGTGGCGCATGCCTGTAATAACAGCTACTCAGGAGGCTGAGGCAGGAGAATTGCTTGAACCTGGGGGACGGAGGTTGCAGTGAGCTGAGATCACACATTGTATTCCAGCCTCAGCAACAAGAGCAGAACTCCATCTCAGAAAAAAAAAAAAGGCTATGCTTAATAAATTCTGCATAAGGAAACAATATAAGGAATAATAAAGGATTTAAGGTATAAATATGGAAGAATTTTCTGATAATGTGGAATTATTTCAACTTTACTAATTTTTTTTCTGGCCAGAATAATTCAGATGTAGCCCAGAAGGGTGAAGTAGGGAGACAAAATTGATCTTGCAAGATTTCATCTAGGACTGGTGTTCTGAAATTTTATGCACCCACCAACATTCATCAAAGGCCTGCCACTTTTTAGGCACTGTGTTGGGTGCCAGGAATCACAAACATGAATGAGATGTAGTTTTGCCTTCAGGAGCTCATGAGCTCATCAGTGGGTGGCAGTGGGTCTCCCTCTGCAGGTTATTTCACTCATTCCTTTTACATCTATACACTGGACTCCATGTGTGTCAGGCCCTGTGCCAGGCACCAGAGGTTCCCCGATGAAGAGACAGTCCCAGGCTCTGCTTCCCAGAATGGTAGCCATGGCTGATCGTTTCCCAGACAGTGAGAAAGGATCAGTCAGCCAATATAAAAAAAGGAAGTGGCTGGGCATGGTGGCTCAGGCCTATAATCCCAGCACTTTGGGAGGCTGAGGCAGGGAGATCACCTGAGGTCGGGAGTTCGAGACCAGCCTGACCAACATGGAGAAACTCCACGTCTACTAAAAACACAAAATTTGCTGGGCACGGTGGTGCAAGCCTGTAATCCCAGCTGCCTGGGAAGCTAAGGCAGGAGAATCGCTTGAACCCGGGAGGCGGAGGTTGCAGTGAGCTGAGAGAGCGCCATTGCACTCCAGCCTGGGCAACAAGAGCAAAACTCCATCTCAAAAAAAAAAAAAGAAAAACTGTAAACGTTCTTCCACTTGCCCCATCAAGTGTACGTTGAAATTTAATACTGACGAACTCTTTTCAAAAGAAAAACAGTGACACAGTATTGACAGAGAAAAAGAAATTCAACCTAGCAATATCCCTACCAGTTGTTGTGAACTATGCTATCCCAGCAGTCTGAGATGTAATCAGAAGCAGAGTAGAGCCATCGAAGGAGAAAAACCTACGTAGACAGAAAATGGATGATGGTCAGGACTGAACCCCAAAGGCAGAGTCCCGCTACCCTGCAACACAGTGCTGCTGCTGGACCTCTGCTCAGAGCAGAAATCTGCCACCAGCATTGTGCGCTCATGAGCCCTCCTGGCGTCCCACCCTTCTCAGCCTCGATGCTCACAGGAGCAAGTTCATCGGTCAGGTCGGGAAGCACTGCTTCAGAGGACAGAAGAGCTGGATCTTTACGCAGCTGGTCGAGATAACCCAAGAGGATGAATTTATCACTCTCACTCCCAGTCCAAGGGTTTTCTAGGGTTTTATACACCACCCTTCCTGCTGTGTTGCGCCTTTCTAAGACAGACACCTGGAAGAAAAGGAGAGAAAAACCATCAGAAGTTTCAAAAGCATGATTAAGTTACAGTTGTTTGTTTTTTGAGATGGAGTCTCACTCTTGTCTCCCAGGCTGGAGTACAAGGGCGTGATCTTGGCTCACTGCAACCTCTGCCTCCCAGGTTCAAGCAAGTCTCCTGCCCCAGCCTCCCTAGTTGCTGGGATTACAGGTGTGCACCACCATGCCCAGCTAATTTTTGTATTTTTAGTAGAGATGGGGTTACATGATATTGGCCAGGCTGCTCTCAAACTCCTGACCTCAGGTAATCCACCTGCCTTGGCCTCCCCAAGTGCTGGGATTATAGGCATGAGCCATCACGCCCAACCACAGTTGTTTTTTAGGGAGGACAGAAAAAAAGGACCCAGTGAAGTCAGCAATAAAGTTAAACACAAATATTGATGATTCTAAAATATTTGCAACAGACCTAAATCTTTCTTACAAAAGAAGTAACTCTTTTTTTTCAGACAGTCTCATCCTGTCACCCAGGCTGTAGTGCAGTGGTATCATCTTGACTCACTGCAACATCTGCCTCCTGGGTTCAAGCAATTATCATGCCTCAGCCTCCTGAGTAGCTGGGACTACAGGGATGCACCATCACACTGGCTAATTTTTATATTTTTAGTAGAGATGGGTTTTCACCATATCGATTAGGCTGGTCTTGAACTCCTAGCCTTAAGTGATTCACCCACCTCGGCCGCCCAAAGTGCTGGGGTTGTGTGAGCTACCATGCTTGGCCCAAGAAACAACTTTTATAGTGACTTTCCTAAGCTTTTGTTAAAAGTTAAAGCTCCTTTTTTCTCAATAGATTTTGTTCTATAATCTTTGACTTAATATTAAGGGAAACCTTTGTTTTTAGAGAGATTTTCCAATGATTGCCAAAATAATGGAAAAGTCAGAGGAGAATTTCTTGTTTCTGTAGGGAGTGATGACAATGGTGGGGAAAGGCCAGGAGATCAACCAGGAGAAAGTGAAAGAGGCAGACAGAGGCAGAATTTTCTAGAGCACATTACTGGTGGCCTAAAGATTTGTAAAATCTAGGATCTAGAATGCTGCAAGACCAGACTTGCCATAGTGAAAAACTGGTGAAAAGGACTGATGACCTTTTTTCACATTTACTGATAGAAAAGATGCTTTCTGTGGAGGCCTAAGGCTGACATACAGAATGTAAAAGGACCAGGCCAAAAATTGTTTTAAGAGTAGGCTTTTGGCTGGGAGCGGTGACTCATGTAATCCCAGCACTTTGGGAGGCTGAGGCGGGTGGACTGCTTGAGCTCAGGAGTTTGAGAACCTGGGCAACATGGCGAAATCCTATCTCTACAAAAAATTAGTCAGGTGTGGTGGTGTATGCCTGTAGTCCCAGCTATTTGGGAGGCTGAGATGTGAGGATCACTTGAGACTGGGAGGCTGAGGCAACAGTGAGCTGAGATCACGTCCCTATACCCCCAGCCTGGGAGACAGAGTGAGACCCTGTCTCGGAAGAAAAAAAAAAAAAAGAAAAAGAAGGCCGGGCGCGGTGTCTCACGCCTGTAATCCCAGCACTTTGGGAAGCCGAGGCGGGCGGATCATGAGGTCAAGAGATCGAGACCATCCTGGCCAATGTGGTGAACCCTGTCTCTACTAAAAGTACAAAAAATTAGCTGGGTGTGGTGGTGCGTGCCTGTAGTCCCAGCTACTTGGGAGGCTGCAGCAGGAGAATGGCTTGAAACCGGAAAATGGAAGTTGCAATGAGCCGAGATTGCACCACTGCACTCCAGCCTGGCAATAGAGCGAGATTCTGTCTCAAAAAAAAAAAGAAAAGAAAAAGAAAAAAAAAAGAGTAGACTTTGAAAATAGCCTTCAGAGTTCCAGATTTCCTAGAATCTGTATTCAACACTCCCAAGGAAGAAGGAAACAGAGTCAAGTGCCATGTGCTTGTGAAGAGCCAGGGATGAGGAGAGACTGTGGCTCACCGCTGATTTCCCTTGAAACACCTCACTGTCTGGTAGTAAGGTGTTGGCAAACTCCTGCTGCCGATTGCTGTAGACATGCACGAATCTCACTGTGTCTTGTGTGTTTGCCAGGGCAAAGGACAGGAAAGCCTCAAAGGGTTTGCTCAACTTGGTAGTCTCAGCAGTCAGTAAAACCACACAGTACCTGCACAACAACAAAAAGAGAAAGCTTTATAACCAACCCCTGATGGCAGGGCCAGTACTTATAATGGCAAATAAAGGTGAAGAGGAGGTCATCATACAGAAGTGAACACACTGTGCCCAATGAAAGCTGATATCTCTATTAAGGGAAGATTTCCAAGGCATTAACAAACTGTTTCTTTTCCCAATCTGTGATGTTTTTCCCAAACCAAACTTCTTTACCACATTTAGAAATTTTTAAATTTTATATATAACATATGAAATTGTATACAATTTTATTTATATTGCCCAGGCTGGTCTTGAACTCCTGCCCTCAAGCAATCCTCATACCCCAGGTTCCCAAAGTGTTGGGATTACAGGTGTGAGCCACTGTGCCTGGAAGGAATTTCTTTTAAGGGATTGGTCACTGAATCTCTGATGTAGTAGGGTCTTTTATTTTTTGAGGTGGAGTCTTGCTCTGTTGCCCAGGCTGGAGTGCAGTGGCATGATCTCAGCTCATTATAACTCTGCCTCCTGAGTTAAAATGACTCTGCTTCAGCCTCCCAAGTAGCTGGATTACAGGCGTGTACCACCTCACCCAGCTAGTTTTTGTATTTTTAGCAGAGATGGGTTTTCACTATGTTGGCCAGGCTGGTCTTGAACTCCTGGCCTCAAGTAATCCACCCACCCTGGCCCCACAAGTGGTGGGATTACAGGGGTGTGAGCCATTGCTCCTAGTCAGCACGGCCTTTTAGAAACTGTTTATCCTAGTTCTTCCACTGCAGGGAGGGCTGGTCAAATCTCTCTCAGGCCAGGGTCCATTGAGCATCATTCTGAAGGGCTTCTTTTGCAAAGTTCCAATGGAAAGTTTAGCTATTCATTCTCCCAGAAATATTTACTGAGCACTTAGTATATGCCAGGTAAGACAGACAATATTATTGCCCTCATGGAGCTTATATTCCAGTGGGGAAGATAGAAAACAAATAAAAACAGATACATCATGACAGGTATCAACATGTGCTATTTAAAAAGAAAAAAAGATGAAGAACAGGGGACAGAGAGAGTCCAGAGAGGGTGGAAGTCACTATCGATCAGACAGGCTGTCAGGGAAATGCCAACTGAGAAGGTGACATTGTCATGAGAGGAAGTAGGGTCAGAGCATCCCAGGAAAAGAGAACTCCAAGTGCAAAGACCCCAGGATAGAGAGTGACTGGATCTGATTTGCACTTTTTTTTTTGAGACGGAGTCTCACTCTGTTGCCCAGACTGGAGTGCAATGGCAAGATCTCAGTTGACTGCAACCTCCACCTTCCGGGTTCAAGTGATTCTCCTCCCTCGGCCTCCTGAGTAGCTGGGATTATAGGTATGTGCCACCATGCCTGGCTATTTTTGTATTTTTAGTAGAGACAGGGAGACAGGGTTTGACCATCTTGGCCAGGCTGGTCTCGAATTCCTCACCTCATGATCCACCCACCTTGGCCTCCCAAAAGTGCTAGGATCCAAAATGCTAGGATTACAGGTGTAAGCCACTGTGCCCGGTCCTGATTCGTACTTTCAAAGATCACTGGCTGATGTGTGGACACCTGCCTGGAGGGTACAAGAGTGGAATGGAGCAGAGAGACTAGTTGGAAGGCTGCAGGGGGGTGGTCTCACTGGGAGACGGTGGTGGCTTGTTCCAGGGTAATGATTTAAAAAAAAAAAAATTTAAGGCTGGGCATGGTGGCTCATGCCTGCAATCCCAGCAGTTTAGGAGGCCAAGGCAGGTTGATCACCTGAGGTCGGGAGTTCGAGACCAGCCTGACCAACATGGAGAAACCTAGTTTCTAATAAAAATTAGCTGGGCATGGTGGCGCATGCCTATAATCCCAGCTACTCAGGAGGCTGAGGCAGGAGAATCGCTTGAACCCAGGAGGCAGAGGTTGCAGTGAGCTGAGATTGTGCCATTGTACTCTAGCCTGGGCAAAAAGAGGGAAACTCCACCACAAAAAAAATATTTTTTTTTAAGTGAGAAGTGTGTGGATTTGGGATATTTTTTGAAGGCTGCGTAAACAATCCTTACAGTCAAGGATATTCTTTTTTTATATTTAAGTCATTTTTTCCCTTCGCTCTTAAGACTATAAAGAAATCTGAAAAGCCAAGAAACACAGGGAAATTATTTGTGTTTCATATTTTCAAATAACATGATTGATACATTTTCCTTCTATATCCAGATACCTTTTACAGATGAAACAGCCCTAAATTTAAAGCCACTGACTCATTCACCTGAGAAGGTATGATGGATATATTCCTTGAATTTCTAGACTTTTAAGATACTTGGTATAGTAACTCTTCGTACTTTATTGAATACATGTAACTTAGCCTTCCTGATTCCCACTAATCCATTTTCTCAGTACTCTATACTTCTCTACTGTTTAATTATTATCCTTGCTCCTTCCCAAGACCTCTGAAGACTCACCCTGAGTGGAATGCTCTGGTGGGGATAATAACTCTTCCATATTCCATGCTTCTGTAAAGTGACCCAGTCACTCCTGGACTCCTGGCTAAATTGTGCTCATCCTTCAGGTCTGAGCTGGAAGTGTTACGTCTTAGGGAAATCTCCTCTGACCACTAGGACAGGCTGGCACATCCAACAATTTGGTGCTAAGGTGCCCTGGACTAATACATCCCATTACCATCATAGTTACTAATCAGTATTTGTGAAATGAAGAATAAGTTCTTACTGTTACAGGGCAGATGTCCAGTTACCCTATAGTAAAATGCAACATGATCCTTCTATTGTAATGACAAGCAGAGGCAAAGCCTTGAGTCCTTACTTTCTCTGTCGGTGAGACCGTTTCACAGGGCAGAGTTCATGGAACAACTTCTGGCTGGTGAGCCTAGCTGCCAACAGATACTTGTTTTGGGCGATAAAGTCATCAATGATTTGCTTCTTCATACCTCGGGCCTAGAGAAAAACCAAGAAGCAGCTAGATTTTATGCAGTGTTCTCAATGCAAGTAGATGGGCTTTACTTACCAGCTTAATAAAAATGTGGCTGGCCTTGACTAAAGTAATATAACCAAAGAAGACAGACCTGTTTGAGCAAATAAACATGTGGTCATCTATTTCAGCCATGCAGGGCTGAAAGCAAGGATGTAGCTATTTCAGGTCAAAGGGAAAATCAAGTACACTTCCCACTGAAAAATTTTTATATGCTTTTAATGCTGACAAATTTAAAAAGTCAACAATGGCCAGGTGTGGTGGCTCACACTTATAATCCCAGCACTTTGGGAGACCGAGGTAGGTAGATCATGAGGTAAGGAGTTCGAGACCAGCCTGGCCAACACAGTGAAATCCTGTCTCTACTAAAAATACAAAAATTAGCCACACATGGTAGTGCATGCCTGTAAGCCCAGCTACTTGGGAGGCTGAGGCAAGACAATCGCTTGAACCCAGGAGGCGGAGGTTGCAGTGAGTTGAGATTGCACCATTGCACTCCAGCCTGGGCAACAGAACGAGACTCCATCTCAAACAAAAACAAAACAAAAAGTCAATCATTCTGAATTTTAGGCAAATTTATTTCCAATCAAGATTTGTAGCAAACTGAGCAATTAAAAATAAATCCCAAAGCAACACAATATTACAAAGTATAAAAGGCAGATTACAAAACTCTCAGACCATTTTATTACTAACTTTCACATTTCAAAGGATTGAAATCACTGACAGCAGGTACTCTGACCACAAGGTAATTAACCTAGAATTCCATATGAAATGTAAACCAGAAATGTAAACATCTCCCTTTATGTTTGAAAATTAAGAAACACGTCCAGGTATGGAGGCTCATTCCTCTAATCCAAATGCTTTGGGAGGCTGAGGCAGGAGGAGCCCTTGAACCCAAGAGTTACAGACCAGCCTGTGCAACATAGAGTGATCCCATCTCTACGAAAAATTAACAACAAACAAACAAAAGGCCAGGCACAGTGGCTCACTCCTATAATCACAGCACTTTGGGAGGCCAAGGCAGGAAGATTGCCTGAGCTTAGGAGACCTGCTTGGGCAATATGTGAGACCTTGTCTCTACTAAAAATAAAAAAAAAAATTAGCCAGGCATGGTGGTACAGGCCTGCAATCTCAGCTACCTGGGAGATGGTGGTGGGAGGACTGCTTGAGCCCAAGAGTTAGAGACTGCAGTGAGCTAGGATCACACCACTGCACTCTAGCCTGGGTGACAGACTGAGACACTGTCTCAAAAAAAAAAAAGGGCTGGGCACAGTGGCTCATCCCTTTAATCCCAGCACTTTGGGAGGCCAAGGTGGGTGGATCACTTGAGGTCAGGAGTTCGAGACCAGACTGGCCAATATGGTAAAACCCTGTCTCTACTAAAAGTACAAAAATTAGCCAGGTGGCCAGGCGCGGTGGCTCACGCCTGTAATCCCAGCACTTTGGGAGGCCGAGGCGGGTAGATCACGAGGTCAAGAGATCAAGACCATCCTGGTCAACATGGTGAAACCCCGTCTCTACTAAAAATATAAAAAATTAGCTGGGCATGGTGGCACGTGCCTGTAATCCCAGCTACTCAGGAGGCTGAGGCAGGATAATTGCCTGAACTCAGGAGGCGGAGGTTGCTGTGAGCTGAGATCACGCCATTGCACTCCAGCCTGAGTAACAAGAGTGAAACTTCGTCTCAAAAAGAAAAAGTTAGCCAGGTTGTTGCCTTAGCCCCAGCTACTTAGGAGGCTGAGGCAGGAGGACTGCTTGAGCCAGGGAAGCAGAAGTTGTACTGAGATGAGCCTGGGCGATGGCAGGGAAACCCTGTCTCAGAAAAGAAAAAAACAAAAAGGAAAAAAAGTTAGCTGGGCACGGTGGCATGTGCCTATAGTCCCAGCTACTTGGGAGGTTGAGGTGTGAGGATCACTTGAGCGTAGGAGGTCAAGGGGGCTGTGAACCAAGATGACACCATTACACTCCAGCCTGCGTGACAGAGCAAGACTGTCTCAAAAAAAATCAAATCAAATCAAATCTGAGAACAAGAAAGCCTATCAGATATTACAAAATATTTGGAACTCTAATGACTAATGAAAAACACTATTTGTAAGAACTCTGAGATACAAATAAAGTAGTACTTGAAGGGGAATTTTATGATTAATGTAATAGAAAAAAGTTAAAAAACATCTCTGTCAAAAAGTCAACAACAGCAAAAATACGAAGGTAGAAAGGAAATAATACAGGTAAAAATAGAAATTAATGAAACAAGAAATGAATATATTAATATAAGAAGAAGAATTGGCCAGGCACGGTGGCTCATGACTGTATTCCCAGCACTTTGGGAGGCCGAGGCGGGCAGATCACCTGAGGTCAAGAGATAGAGACCATCCTGGCCAACGTGGTGAAACCCCATCTCTACTAAAAATATAAATATTAGCTAGGTGTGGTGGCATGCACCTCTAGTCCCAGCTACTCGGGAGGATGAGGCAGGAGAATCACCTGAACCTGGAAGGCATAGGTCACAGTAAGCCGAGATTGTGCCACTGCACTCCAACCTGGTGACAGAGCAAGACTCTGTCTCAAAAAAAAGAAGAAGAAGAATTAACAAAGCCAAAACTGGTTATTTGAAAAAGCAAATACAATTGACACACCTCTGGCAAAACCAATCATGAAAACAAAAGAGAAAGCATAAATAACCATTCTCAAGGATGGCAAGAAGAAATCACTACCTACAAAGCAGAAAGATTTTTAACGTTAAAGCGAAACCCAAAAACCCAAGCTAAAGGCCCAGATGTCACTATGGATGTTTCAATCAAACTTTCAAGGAAGACAATCTTATAAAGTCTTCTCGAGGGGAGGAAAAGCCCCACGAGTATCATGAGAAAGAGAAGTTAGAAGTCAATCTCATTTCTGAACATGAATGTCAAAGTCCTAAGCAACATGTTAGCAAATGGAATCCAGCAATATATTGAAAGCATAATAGAAATCATGATCTTGTCGAATTTATTTCATGAATGCAAGCTAGATTTAACATTAGAGAATGGCTTACTATGAGTTAGCACATTATAAAAGATTAAAGAAGAAAAATCAGAATAATCTAATGGATGCAGAAAAGTATTTGATAAAAGTCATACCATTTGTGGTTAGAACTTTTAGTCAACAAAGAGTAGATGGACCTTTAACCTGATAAAGGGTCTCCAGATTTTAAAAGCCTTCTGTAAACACACTTATTGGGGAAATACTGAAAGCCTTTCCTCTCTTTGAAATCAAGAACAAGGACAGCCCCCAATTACTCTGCTTCTATTCCACATCATGTCAGACGTCAGGAGTAACGTCAGAAAAAGAAATAAAAGGAGGGCTGGAAAAAAAAAGAAGTAAAATTGTCATTGATCTCAGGGGATAGGACTGTATAGTTAGCCAATCTAAAAGATGGCACAGATAAATTGCTCAAGTTAGTACAAGAGTTCAGCAAGGCTGCTGGATGATACAAAGTCTATACTTAAAAGTCAAGGCCAGGTGCTGTAGCTCATGCCTGTAATCCCAGCACTGTGGGAGGCTGAGGCAGGCGGATTACCTGAGGTCAGGTGCTCGAGACCAGCCTAGCCAACATGGCAAAATCTTTCCTCTACTAAAAAACACAAAAATTAGTGGGGCATGGTGGTGCATGCCTGTAATCTCAGCTACTCAGGAGGCTGAGGCAGGAGAATTGCTTGAACCCGGGAGGCAGAGGTTGCAGTGAGCTGAGATTATGCCATTGCACTCCAGACTGGGCAACAGAGCAAGACTCTGTCTTAAAAAAAAAAAAAAATCAATTGTATTGCTAATACCAGCAAAAAGAAAAATCAATAAAAGGATATTTTTTTCATTCTTTTTTCTTTTCTGTAAATAAAAAAAGACAAGGTCTCACTATGTTGCCCAGGCTGGTCTTGAACTCCTGAACTCAAGTGATCCTCCTACCTCGGCCTCCAAAAGTGCTAGGGTGAACCACTACACCCAGTCCCTTTACATTCTTTTTCTTTTTTTTTGAGATGGAGTGTCACTCTTGTTGTCCAAGCTGGAGTGCAATGGCGTGATCTCCGCTAGCTGCAACATCCACCTCCCGGTTCAAGCAATTCTCCTGCCTCAGCCTCCTGAGTAGCTAGGATTACAGGCATGTGCCACCATGCCCTGCTAATTTTTGTAGTTTTAGTAGAGATGGGGTTTCACCATGTTAGTCAGGCTGGTCTCCAACTCCTGACCTCAGCTGATCCACCCGCCTCAGCCTCCCAAACTGCTGGGATTACAGGCGTGAGCAACCACGCCTAGCCAGCCTTACATTTTTTTTTTTTTTTTTTTTGAGATGGAGTTTAGCTCTTGTTGCCCAGCCTGGAGTGCAATGGTGCAATCTCGGCTCATTGCAACCTCTGCCTCCTGGGTTCAAGCGATTCTCCTGCCTCAACCTCCCGTGTAGCTGGGATTACAGGCATGCGCCACCATGCCCTGCTAATTTTGTATTGTTAGTAGAGACGGGTTTCTCCATGTTGGTCAGGCTGGTATTGAACTCCTGACCTCAGGGTGATCCATCCACCTTGGCCTCCCAAAGTGCTGGGATTACAGGTATGAGTCATCACACTTGGTCTTACATTCTTTTTTTAAAATTTTTTTTCTGGTGTTCCGTGTTTCCTGCACAAAATGCCCAGGAAGCCACAGAAACCATCCCTGCTACAGAGCAGGAGTTGCCGCAGCCCCAGGCTGAGACAGGATCTGGAACAGAATCTGACAGTGATGAATCAGTACCAGACCCTAAAGAATAGGACTCCACCCAGGCAACCACACAAGCCCAGCTGGTGGTAGCAGCTGAGACAGATGAAGAACTCGTCAGTAAAGCAAAACAGAGTCGAAGTGAAAAGAAGGCACGGAAGGCTATGTCCAAACTGGGTCTTCGACAGGTTACAGGAGGTACTAGAGTCACTATCCGGAAATCTAAGAATATCCTTTTTGT